TGCAGCTGTTTAAAAGAACAGTGTTGGTAATATAGCATTGGTTTAGTCCCTAAAGTTTCTTGCTTGGGTAAAGTGGGAAACCCTTTTTGCACCTGAAAAACATCTATGGAACTCAGACATCCCATGCCTGGGAAATAGCAGGCAACTTGCATATAAATTCAGTTCTCAGAGAAGTCATCTGTGCTATACTGGCAAGTATCATGCAATATCATATTTTGCCTCCTCAGCATTTCTGCCTACATTACCCAAGCAAATATTTTCATTCAAAATTATAGATTAGCTAGCTCTTCCTTATACCAGGAATAACATCAGTTTTCCCGCCTTAATAGCTAAAAGGCAGAAAATACGTATAATGTTATATAGAAAATACAAATCATGCTCTCTTCTGTTTGGATCAGCATCTGCTGTGATACAGAAACTGTAAAGAAGGGCTCGGAAAGTTTTGTGAAGTTCCCTTTCCAGATATCCCCATCAGGTCTCAGGAAGGATCCCACCCTTATCTAAGTAAGTAGGTTTTGTAACAGTACTGAGTCCCTGGTTGAAACTCTTCATCCCAGTAACAGAGAGATTTAAAAAAATAACGTTTGAGTATTTCTTAACATTTTGACTAGCAGAGAAAGGCGAATGAAGCAATCGATCTTTCATCACAAATGATATCTGGTGGCATATTGGGAATTGACAAGAGTCTTTGATGCTGTAGCTTTTTTTCAGATGTGTAACTAGTTGCCAAGCCTTAGTAAACCACTTAAGTGCAGCAGCTATGGCAGCTCGTTCTCAAGAGCTATAATCCCTCCTCTACCATTAGGAATGGATGCTTGTAAGTGGGGATTTATTTTCTTTCCAATTTTTTCTGTAGGTATTTGATTTATAACATTTCATTCCTCAAACTGTGTTTAAAATATTTGTAAAGCCTTTGTAAACATACTTTTATTGAATTCCATGGGAGAGGAGAGAGCTAATTAAGGTTCACATTAGTCAGGAAAATAAAACAATAAGAAGGATTTTCCTGAAGGAAATGAAGAATTTACATAAATGCAGTTCATGCCATGTGACTTCAGGAGGAAAGTTTCATGAAAGAGAACTGCTAATCCCACCAGTAAAGAAGTTGTATATGTGCTGCAGAATGGTTTCATTGAATCCATCTGGTCTCTTCATAGATGAGTAAAACTATGAAGTAAATGGAAAAAAGTAAATGAAAAAAGCCAAAGAAATAAACCAATAGGTTTTAGTCCCCATGGGTGGCAGGGAATATCACCCTTCCCAGGCCCAGGTAGTATATTCTGTGTTTCAAAAGCGGCTGTGTCATTTTTCACGCTGTTCTTGCAAATATAAGGTGATAATGAATCAAAAAACCAAAACTTATTGCAAGTCATTGCTAGCCATTTTTCTCAGATACAAGGCTGTCCCTGGGGACACCAGGGGTCGGCTTCTACTCTTTGCTTACCACTTACATATGGTCAGTTCATTTCATAAAGCATGTGTATTACTCTTTGCAAAGGCTTTCAACTGTGTTTACACAAAATTCAAGTGATCTCAGTAAGTCCTAGCTTTGTATTCCATTAGCCTAATTGCTAGGTTTAAACTGAAAGTTTGTCCCGGTGGATGTAAAGGTCTATATTAATGTCTACAAAATATATGGCACCTGCCTGTTTGTTTAGAAATTTTTAAAAAATATACTTTAAAAAAAGTTTAGGGACATTATGGTTAGAAAAATAACCTTGCCTGCATAAATCAGCAGAGTGCTGGCACATGTCTGCAGGCAACACAACTTCCCCTAGATGTGTACATGATCACTTGTGTAGAAAGAAGCTCAACAGCTAGACATGAGGGATGGCAGGGGACCTCACCAGGGCGTGGTTCTGAGTGTTTGGGGTACAGATGCCATTTCTCAGCCACATTAGTCCATGGATCTGGTAGATTTTTTATTGGCTCTTAAATACTGTGTAGGCTGTTGCATTTCTACACTAAATTCAGTGGATATTGTGTAGTGTTTAAGGTAATTGTTTGATTTCTTTAGTGTGAAATGTAAGTAGTAAAGCTAAAAAATAACAAAACCTTAGGACTATGTTCTTTGACTGGTAGATATTAGGAGTAAAGCCGGATTTTGGTAACTGTGCTTTTCTGAAGAACATATAATGATTACCTCTCCTAAAAGGAAAGGCTGAGAGAGTTGGGGTTGCTCAGCCTGGAGAAGAGAAGACTGCGGGGAGACCTTCTTGCAGCCTTTCAGTACTTAAAGGGAGCTGACAAGAAAGATAGGGACAAACTGTTTAGCAGAGCCTGTTGCAATAGGACAAGGGGTAATGATTTTACACTAAAAGAGGGTAGATTTAGACCAGATATAAAGAAGACATTTTTTATAATGAGGGTGGTGAAACACTGGAATTGGTTGCCCAGAGAGGTGGTAGATGCCCCATCCCTGGAAACAGTCAAGGTCAGGTTGGACGGAGCTCTGAGCAACCTGATGTAGTGATAGATGTCCTTGCTCATTGCAGAGGGATTGGGCTAGATGGCCTCTAAAGGTCCCTTCCAACCCAAAACATTCTATGATTCTATGATTATCCACTGGCTGGCTAGCGTACAAAAGTGAGTGTTGGCAGATGGTTCTCAGGAATCCAGTGTATTCTTGCATCTTGCATGCACAAAAAATGAAACTGACTTGTCGTAATGGCTTAACTGTCTGTTCATAAAATACTAACCGTACCAGGTATGCTAAACTGCTTGCTATAAGCTCTCCAGCAACAGACCCAGCCACAGCTTGCAGCATTTTCCAAAAATATGTCAAGTGATCAATCTGTCACAGCATCAATATTTTCCTCTTGAAGGCAGGTCTTTCATCAGAGTGGAAACGACAGAGTTACTGATCTAAGCCAAGACAGTTTAGAGCGATGTGTATTAATTCAAGACCATACCTAAGTGGTATCTGTTCCTTCAAAATTCCATCACAGCTGCGTAACACATGCTTAGCTACTTATTTCATTAAAATCTGTTTTTATGTGTCGGTTGTCCCAATCCTTCCAGAAATGTTCAATGAATCTTTATTAGTTACTTCACCTTCACAGGTCCTGGGCAATCATTACTTCTTTTTACTCATTTCCTTCTTAACAGCAATTTAATCCTCTGAAAGAAATGAGTAATGGGAAAGAATATTACTGTTGTATGTATGATAAATTAAAAACATCTATTTTCCTTCAAAAGATACAGCCATTGTAGTACTCTAAGACGCTTATTCCTTTCTGTGTAAGTTCCTATAAAGGAGGTTAAACTTGGCTTGGAAGCATACTAGTTTCCCCTAAAATTTAAACCTGACGATTATAACAAGACTATTTTCAGAAATCTTCCTTCTTAGGCATAGACCATTTGTCAAGCGAGGTCAACAGCAGTCAAGCAGAATGGACTGAGGTCCACATCTCTGGGTACATCAGTGTTATTGCAGCCTTAACGTGGAGTCTTAACTGGACCAAAAACTTTAAGGCCATGAAGCTATTGGAAGACTTAGGAGTTATAAGGCTTGGAACCTGTCTACAGGGAAGGCTCAGCAAGGGTAAGAACCAAAACTGAAGAGCTCAGACAGAAACAAGGATCAAAGTCTAACCAAGGGGAGAAGATGTTGACCAGAGAGAAAAGACTAAAGAAGAATGGGGAAAGGGAAAATGGCTGCCAGCAAAAGGTGGAGTAAGCCATTTCAGAATTCAGTATTTATTAGTAGTACTGAACCCAACAACCATTCTTCTGAACCACTTACTGACAATATTTAATGCTTACCTCTATATGCATTAAGGATTCTTGCAAGAAACGTGAGTCCTACCGGAGCTGTAGGTGCACTACACCAAAGGCAAGATGTGGTGCCTGCTTGCTGAGAAGAGCAGCAGATTGGGAGCCTTCCTAAGACAGTGAGGCCGGCAGATGCACGCTCACCAGTGTTGCTTCTAGTTGGCCAGATATATTCTGGGTGGACTCAGAAGCTTTAGGAAAGTAGGAGAGTTCACAATACATTTAAGGGACAAACTTCTCTCAGTGTCAAGGGAAACTCTACCGCATAAACTTCCCACATAGTGAGGAAACTGGAGATAAAGAAAGTTCATAAAAGGAGTTCTGGCTAGTGGATGGAGCTGTAGGAATAAAGATATGCATGACCTACAAGGTCTATTGGAAGAGGAGAAATATTGATTATCAACAGTGCAAATTCAAAAACGCAGAATGTAGCAGAATGCAGGAATTAGCATTAGCAACACAAATTTATTTCAGCCCTCTCGTGTATGAATTATGATGATGATGTCTGACTTACATGATCACCTGCTGTATTTTATATGGTCTCCAGCGTCCCATAGTTCATGACATGGATGGTGATCATTGAATGGACAGCTATTCAGTATCTTGTTTCCTGTTTGCAAAATTATGTTCATTGAGATCTCCTAAAGAAAGTGCATAAAATGAGCTGCTATTATCTAGAATCTTCTGAGCATATATGAACAGCTATCCACTTCACAAAATTTGTGCAATCTTTAATGGATGAAGCAAAAGGCATGCCCCTGATCTGGTCACCTCTCTTCTAAAGGCAAGTCTCCTCTTCAACGCATGAGAACACTGGAATCTTCAAAGCCCATTAAATGTTTAAACATACAAAGGCAATGTATCTTACCTAGTCTTGTCCTCAGAAACCGATTATTTGTTTTGGCAAAAAAAATAGTTGTTTTGATCTGAGGCAGATACTCAACAGGGATGATGTCAGCCTGAATGATTTAAATTAGAAAGAATGAACAAAAGCATTTACATAGAAATGGAGGGTCAAGCTGACACCCTGATCTGCAAAGAGTGAATCATTTCCATGGAAATGCGTAATCCAGGGAGCAAGTTTTGAAACAGAGCTCCAGTCCACCCGACATTTTGCAGATGCTGAAAAAGAGCACAAGTACGGTGGCTATCTGAACCTGTTCACTGTTGCATTGTGCTGCTGCAAAGAGCCTTAAAGTGTCAATTCAATGTTCTGTTATTGGCAGTGATAAAGTCATACGAGTTGTTCCTGAGAGCGAGAGGGAAACCCAGATCCTGAAGGCTGCATTGAACAGGCTTAAGGTGAGTTTGATTATTTTCATCTTCTTTTTCTGATCTTTGTTGAAGACTGTAGTGGGTTAACTGACATGCCTTTCATTTGGCACTTTACTTCAAGCTATTTTATACTCTGGAAAGCAGCCTTTGCCCATTAAATTCCTAATTTCCCAATAAAACAGCGTAGGAATTAGATTCATCATGCCTGACAATTTTAAGAAGAAACACTTATTGCCTTAATATAGGTGCCACACTTGCAGATTTGCTTTTTTCGGTCTTCCACTTCTTGCTAGCACACATAGTTGCACATTTCGTTTTCTGGCTGATGGTTTTATTTAAAACACTGAGTTAATTCAAGATGTGAAAACACACAGGAACAGGAAAAAGGAAGTGGCTTCAGTTTGAGAATCTCTCTGGCAGAATAATTTTCTAGAGGCAGTTGAGAGAGTGTCTACAAGACAAGCAAGCCAAAAAACTTTCTTCCCAGCCTTTTCCTGCAGATATAAATGAAAAGCAATGGTGCCGCTGTAGCAGCGCATCGCAGCACAAGACTGCTCTGGAGCATGCTGCTTTGCTAGCAGAGCTAACAAAGGCACAGGCAGTCTTTCCACAGCAGTGTGGCCCATTATCTCAGGGGAGGATGAGGAGCCCCTGTAAGCCATGTCTCTGGCTGCTGCCACAGCCTGAAAAGGACTGCTCCGTGCACATGCACTGCCCTCAGGTACTGGGGGAGGGACAAACCTCGTTAATAGTCTCCAAAACACCACCTAACAAAAGCAGAACTAGGGAAGTAATGACTTCATCACTATGTCGAGTTTGTTCTGGGAGTTGAGCACGAGTCCCAGGCTCTGCCTCTTCACCCGTGTTAGCTCAGACTCTGCTCGAGCCCGGCAGGCAACAGTTGACTTCTCCTCATACTGATGAAGGTAAAGGAGTTTGATGGGCAGCCTTACAGGCAGCGTGGGCACAAGCTAAAGTCATTTGGCACCACGAACTCAAGCCTTCGTTTGTGTCTGTCTGAAAAGAGCTGTATGGACATAGGCAAAGGAACATGTTGGGAACTTTGGCAGTCCTGTGACATAGAGTTTTGGGTCACAGCAGAACACCAGTGGTACCAAAGTGTTGGGACCACGTGCAGAACCTCTGGGCTGCTCACTGCCTTCAACTCCAGCAAACTATTACGCAGTCTGCGGTGTATCTCTATCTCCCTTGTTGAAACCTCACGTAAGTGATGTGTTCTCACTGAGGCAAAGAATACATGATGTTCTAGTGCATGTAATTTTCTAGTCCAATCGTTAACACCTGGGATACAAGTAAATCAAATCTCAGTCGGCATACCAAATCAAACAAAATGAAGATCTTAGAAGAGCTCTTACACCTTCCTGAAAAGCATTCCATCTTTCAGTTATGACGAAGCTTTCTTGCTACTATTTTTTAAGAAAGAGGACAGAGCTACCTTAGGTACCTCGGCCCAGAAGAAGGCTCACTGCTGCAAATACTCCAGCAGTCAAGATGTTGATGTCTTCCTAGCTGTAAGTAGAAAGGCTGAAGCTCTCTTCATCACCTCTGCATTTTGTAACAATATGTTCAGTTAGTTCCCCACTTGAGATGCTACCTTTTGTAAAGCCCGTTCTCAAGGCATCCAACCGGTGCACACGTTGCATGAGGAATTTCAATGTTCAACAGAGGCTGTGTCTCAATGCTATGTGTTATAGTGCTTTGTACTGTAATGCCCAACTGTCTAAAGAAAATTGTCTTATATTTGTTCTGCAGTGCTTACTGAGGGCCTGGCCCTCAGCTGTAATGTTACTGTAATACTCCAAAAAGGATAATTGTTTTATTCCCAATTAGGGAAAAAAAATCTAACCATAAACCCAAGAAATACATGTGGAAGCTGGTTTTTGCATTAATTTCTTCCCCCTGGATGCTGGAACATAAAGAGGGAGCACATGTGTTTTTTCCTTTCTCCTCATATTGCAAATCCTGCAAAGCAAAGGGTTACTCACCTTCCTACAAGTGTTTCTCATTACAGAGCTCCCTTAAGCTCCCAGAAAGAGATTCCTTCACCCAATTCCATCGAAGTGGGAGCAGTGGAAACTTAAATAAATAATTGCATGCTGTAACTCTGAGAGAAGGATAATAAAATTTTGGCAAACTGCATTGTGATTGATTTTGATGAGGTAGTAAGCAGAGGAGGTTAAAGGGAAGATTGAAAAAAGAGAGTGAGTATTGACACGCAGTTTCGTGAAAACAGCCTGGGTTTGGCTGCGTTTCAGCTCTTGGGGCTCTTCCATCTGCAGCTGCTTCACTGCCCATCTACATGGGGGCAGACAGAAAGAGACACCTGGGGGACTAACAAGCAATGGATATGTTTAACATTAATTTATCATTATCTTAAAAAAACAAAAAAATCAAGTTTTTCGCTCATGAAAAAGTGGATCGACAATAGCACTTCTCGGAAGATTTTTTTGCTCACAACACCAGCCAAAGTCAGTAGTGGCTGCAAGTCATCAGTCCCTCTGAAGAACCATGAATTTAGAGTTGTGCAATTGTTGAAGTCTCCATGTCAGTCTCCCCTGTCCTTCCCCTGCCCCCAGACTTCCAGGGTTCGAAACTCAACCGACAGCGGACTTACCGTTCATTTTTTTAAACTGGAGTCTTTAAGCACAATGTTGATAATGTGCTCAGGAGGAATAGACGACAGTGCACCAAAAAACCCCAATAGTGCAAAATAAGCTACAAACAAAGCCCAGATACAGTCCTGTTGCTGTCTTAAGACAGTATGCCTGACAAAAAACAGAGATATAAACAGGGGGCCAACAGAGATATACAAATTGATATAATTACAAGTACTGCTTTTTGAATTTTTACATTTTAGAGTCAGGAAACCAGAACTGGTCAAAGACACATCTCCTTTGATTCCATTTTGGTTTAAGCAGTAAATCGATACCAACCTGTCATATTACTCACATGTTCTCTTCCTCAAGGGAAAAACAAAGCTGGAACCAGGATCTTTTCAAGACACAACAGTTTTGTACATAAATAACCATCAAGTAGCACCAATTTCACTTTTTTTCTTCAGAGAGAGTATTTTGGGACTAACTGCAAATAGTTGGTCTACTGAAGAACATTAGCGTTTTATTTAAAGCCATTTGAAGACTTCAGCCTGAGTTATGATATGGCCTGATAGTATTCTCCACCATTGTCAGTATTAGAAGAAAAAAAACAGCCAGTGAAAATAAAAGTTACATCATTTTTGTTCTTGAAGTGAGAAGTATATCTGCACTTGGGTTTAAATTCAGCCATATGTTTGTCTGCCCTGGCAAGCTAGCCTGTTAGAAGTGAGGTATATTTCAAAGGTACCAAAAGTTATGCTCTCTAGTGATGTCAGGATTAGTGCCCCAACACAAAAATAGCAGTGTGAAAGTCAAGTTTGGGGAGCCTGGTTTGCCCCCAGTGTGATCCATGCACAGCTTAAATGTTTTGAATAAATGCTCAAGATGTTGCAAACACGTGGAGTAGATACTGCAGAAATGGATTGTATTCTTGTTCGCGAGTAAAAGGTCAGACAATCCCTCCTGTCCCAGGCTCCCTCCTCACTGTTTCAGGTGGGGGGAGCTTTATGACAGGTTCATGGTGTTCTGTGTTTATTCCAGCCATTTCCTTCTGTCTTTAAAATCTACAATTGTAAGGCAGAGTCACTTAGCCTTTCCCACTGGCCTATCATAAACCAAAGAATTAAAAGAAAAACTCATCTCTGTCCAGTTCAAATGAGGACATCCTTCTGAAGGGCTTTATCACAAAAAAGTTTGAGAAAATGATCCTGAAAATGAGAATCTGATCTGAGTCTGAGAAAATGATCCTATTACAAAGCAGTGTATCTCGGTGTCAGGCAGAGAATAAAGCAAATGCAAAGATACCCCTTCTTATCACCCACTGATTTGGACAAAGGGAAAACAATCAGGAAGAAAATAAACAGGCACTGGATAGAGTGGCAATGTATCTTTTCACTCATGTTGTTTTATCTGCCTCTTTCTTAATGATTGGCCTTACCACTGATTTTTCCTGAGTAGATTTTGTCATTTACAGTCTGCTCTAGCTGCTTTCTTTCAGAAAGAAACACCCAGGCAGTGGGGAAAGAAGTGGGGAGAGCTTTGCCTTTTGCCATTCTAAAGCCAATGCCATAGAAGTCTGCAGGCTGCAAAGTCCATCGGTTTTGGGAAGAGGATCAGACACAGAAGGAGTCCTTTCTTGACTGTGTATTTACAGAAACCTACCCTGAGACATCCTTGAAGGATCGGCTTGGAATTGGCTGTAATGTCTTGATGTATTTGAAGTATCTTAGAATATGTCCCCAGTAACTAACTTAGGCAGCAGTGGCAGTCTGTTCACAGCGCAAGTGACAAAACTTGCAGAAGCTGGATGACTACTCAGGGGCTTTAGTCCACATGGAAACCTTTTGATCTCAGACAGGACTGCTTTTCTACTGATGCTTGAGCTGAAGGTTAACTCATACAACTTTACAGCTGCCGTCCCTTCAAACTTTTTAAACTTAGCATCTGAAGTTCCTTAGGAGGGATATTTGTCCCTTTTTTTTTTTAAGGAAAAAAAAGTCCATATAATGCTTAGTATAATAAACCCCTGAAACCTGCCTGAAGCGCATAGGCTCTGCTACAGTACAAATGCCACTGACTATAGCGAGTGAATAATGGGTAATGAATGTTTCATTCCACACATTTAACTTCTGGTCCATGAATTGCCCAAAGGCAAATCACATTAGTCATAATCACTTGCTGAGTAATTTCCACAAATTAGTTTTGGTCTGTAGCTCCATTGCCCACAGTGCTTTGTTATTAATCATTATTATAAATTGATTCCCTCATTGGCTGGTTCTATTAACTTCTAGGTGACAAAATATTGCTTTTTTCCCTGATGGGGTGAACATAGCATGTAGACCTGCACTGCCAGTAAAAATAGCCAGCCTTACAGATCAAAATGTCAGCTGTGAGTTCTGTAAAGTTGCTTAAACTTGCATGTATTCAACCAATAAACGCATCCACAGTAACGAAGCAAAGAGGAAGCCTAAATGTACTGAGTCAGACGGGCCACCATCCCAGCCTGCAGATCAGCAGGAGGTGGCTCCGGCCCTGACCGCACTTGCCCCAGCTGGGCTGAGCAGGGTGCCCTGTGCCCCCTGTGCCATTCCGCCTCCCAGGACCACAGTACCACCACCTCTCCAGAGCAGGTTCTCCAAAAGCTCTTACGCATCCTGCACTGCCATATATGCAGCTGCTTCTTAGGACAACACGTGTCTGAGGTCGTAAGCAGTGAGCCAGGTGGGGAACAGAGGGTCGTGCTCTTTTTCCAGGCAAGAGGTGCCAGTTCCTGGTTTTCACTAAGTGACAAGGGTAGTAGCAGCTGGGAGATGCCATCAGTAGGTATACAGCGGTGTGTATCTCTTGTCTCCAGCATGTTCCTACATCAAGCTTCTTTCAGTTTCTGTGGGGAAGAAAAATAAGAGCCTGGTAAATGTGCTGCCCACCGACAGCACCACCCCACACCTTTGAATGCCTTTTGCACAGTCCTGTGACCCAAAGACCACTAGAGCAGGTATGACGGTGAGTATGACAGGTGTAAATGATGGTGGAGCTCCTCATTCACCTTCCACGTAAGATGAAAAGTATGTTGCATAGCAGTATTAAGGAGCATTTTCATATGCTCGTGATGATAGAAAAATTCTTTAGCGATTGATGTGCAAACACATGGAGTTATTTATTGTTCTAGCTATAGATCACTGTCACATTTTTGGATTGGCTGCTGCTGTAATGCGATCACAGGCACCGATCTTAAATTTTGGATGTTCTGCTGCAGTCCTTTGCTCTTATAAATACTATCTCTTTTTATAGATACAGTACAAATCTTTGCTCCAGACCCAGTTAAGACCAGGAGTACCTTTCTGCAGGTTCACGGTTTTCCACTAATCATTTGCAAATTATTACAGTAATCAACAAACAAAAGAGAAATATTTAGGATGATAGTACCACAGTGACCTGAGTATTACAGAACCACCCACTCTCTGTCCCCCAGGGCTCCTCTTGTCCATCCATTGTCCCTCTGCCTCATACACCTCTCCACTGACTGGCTGTTGTCTCCAGCTCTTTCTTGTTTAGGAGACAATTTGAGGAGGCTGTTGCTGGTTTATGAGCCCTTTCATGGTTTTAATTTGGTTGAACTTGACCGACAGAAACAAATGTCACACTCCCAAGTGCTTTGCCAAGAAACCAGGATTTGTCTGGGTCCTCAGATCCAGCAGATTCTGTTTATCTGCTCTGGAATTTTCCTTTGTAAGCTTTATTTTTGAAGCATTACTTCATTTGAGCCTTGACTGATAACTTCTACTCCATCGGTGGTCCACAAGCACTTTTTATCACATACGCCCAACTGGGATTGGGGCTGTTTGTATAGGTAGCAAAGGAGCTACTGCTCTGTGAACATTCCTGGCATAATAGGGTTAGACCACTCATTCTTCAGT